TTTTTTTTTTTTTTTTTTTTTGCTTTTTCTTTTTCCTGTTTTCCTAATTTTAATATATATGAATGATTTAACACATTCAATGTTGACACAAATGCATGAGAATATATTGTGTATAAAATTTGTTCTTGTTAACACTGTTATATTCTATCTACTAATTTCATGCAAAAAAAAAAAAAAATCATTTAAGTATTGGATGTTGTTTATTACCCAACTCAGCTTCCAGCATGACCAGTGAGCTTAGAAATGGAGAAAATCATGAGATCTTCATCAGCAGGAGCTGGAATTGCAGTGTAATGAGGCCAATAATAAGCACGATCATAAATTGTCTTCACATTTGGGCCTTTTAAAACTGAATTTCTCAAATTCCCATATGGATTATTTGGTGAAGTCACAAACTCAATCACATTTCCAGCAAAATCTGATTTGTTTCTTAAAATGGATGAATCTCCTTCAAATTCATAATGAAGTGTTTGAAAGAACTCCGTTTGAAACTTGTAAGGCTAAGAAAGATAAATCAAATTAGTTAATTTCAAGTATATATGCTCCACAAGTATATATTACCATTCGACCAATACTCTTTAATTTGGCTGTAAGGTAAATAACCTGCTACAACTAGTTAAACAATTTGGCAGCATAAAATTACTTCTATCATCGAGCATATTTAAGCCGAGGCGGATGTATAGTATGATCTACGGATTCTTACGAACCCAATAGGTTTGGCTCAAACTCAGTATATTGTTAAGAAGTTTGTTAAATATGTACAAATATAAAATTTTGAGTCCCGTAACTCAAAGGGTCAGCAGATTCAATGGCATCACAAATCCATGAATTAAAATTCAAATCCTAGATCCAACTCACGATCTACTAGTACAACTGATTAAATTGTACTGATACTGTAAAATAAAGTTGCACTGCTAATATATATAAGTAAAATTCATCAATTGAGGAGAACGAACCGAATAATAAGGGATTTTATTTGCAACCACTTTAGCAGAGTAGGGAGAGTTCTCCATTGAAAGAGCATGAACTGCAGCATTTAAGAGCTGGGTAGAGCCAACTCCAAAAACAATGTATCTTCCATCTGTGACAGCATTTTTGGCAATTGCATGTATCTTTCTTATGTTTTTCTCAAGCTCCTTGGATATGTAAGATTGATTAGGAAAGAAATAACTCATTCTATGCCAACCTGCTACTACTACTGCACTGTTTGCTGCATTTTGTATCCAAAAAGGTTCCAAGAATAGGGGATCCCCACTGCATTAAACAATCAATACATTACGTATAGCCCTATTCCGATATGCGTAATAGGTAGCGACTAACTCAGGTATTTCATCAAGGGTGTTCGAATGTTTTTCAAAATTTAATATATATGTATAGAAAGTAATATTTGATCAATATACACAGTATATTTTTACATGAAAATAAAAAACATAAGGGGTAAACTTGTCTACATTTAGGTTACGATATAGTTTTGTTACATTAAATATCAAACTAAGAATGTTCGTGCGATATTTGAAACCAGAAGGCAGACACATGTGTTACAATCCAAAACTCATGAAAATTTGTAAAATTATCCGTTGAAAAGTATTTAATGAGAGTTTGAATCGAAAGTAATGAGTTTAGTTGAATTGTGAACTAATAAAAAGTAGGAGAATGTTACCCTTCAACATCAGCAGGACAATTGGGTAATAACAAAGAGCAATCACTGCCTCCATAACAAGAATAGCATTCACAAATAGGCTTTCCATCTACAACAATGCCATCAACATATACTCTTCCATTTCCTGAGCATGAAATTGCAGCTACTGCTTAAGCTTCTTCTGCTGCTCTTTGGCTCCAACTCAACTTCTCCTTCTCATAATACATGTTCTTGAAAAAGAATATATTCACAAGTATTGAGACCAAAAGACACATAACATAGCTAAACCTCTGAATATTCTTTGTCATTATCTCTATTCTCTCTTCTTTCTTTCTTTGGGAATTAAGTTCATGACTTATTGCAGCCAATTACAGTTTATTATAAGTATGCTGCTGTTCTCTCTAATTCTGCTTTTTTTAATTCTACTTGATTGTTTGAAAAAGATAAATCAATAAATGGCCAATTAAAATCATTATTGTTTGATGTCCTTTTTGGATTTTAAAACCAAAACGAGTATAAAGTATGCAAATGCTAACAAAACAGGCCTCCTTTTCCAGGTAGGAAGCATAATAAGATAATGAGAAAAAATATTGGAGAGCATTTCATAAAGTGAACAAAACAAAAAAGTAATTGTTGAATGCGTGGAATCAAAACACGTTCAATTTGCTTTTCGAGTAGGTGCGTTTGGAGATTAAGAATATTAAAAACTTCTAGCTAGGGGTAAGGCTGGCAAGTAGGTCGGTCCAGGTTCGGGACCACGGGTTAAACGGGTCAGGACCGTCAGGCCCAACTTTAGTGGGCCTGGGCCGTTCCTATGCTTTGGGCCCGTCAGGCCCGGGACCATTTGGTCCGCCAGGGATTGGGACCGGACCGGTCCCTTAGCGGGCCAAACGGTCCCAACGGCTATATTTTTTAATTTGTTTTTTAATATATAGCTGTTGGGCTGTCAAAAATAACCGTTGGCTATTTAAAAAATAGTCATTTAACATCCCCTCCCCCCAAACTTTTTATAATTACATTTTTTCCTATTTTCAACTATAAATACCCCCTCATTCTTTCATTTTTCTTACAAAATTATCAATCTATCACAATCTCTCTCTAATTTTCTTCTATAATTGCTACTATTGCTTACTTTATTGTTACTAAGTGTATAATATATAAGCTATATTCTATATGTAACGACCTGCACGGTCGTTTTGAGTATTACAACCTTGCTTCCCCCTTTACTGCTCAAATTGTACTTTATAGTTGTTGTGTGAATTGCCGGGTAAATGGTTCGGGTCCGGTGAGGTTTTGGAATGAATTGGAACACTTAGTTCCAAGGTTTAAAGCTTAAATTAAAATAGTGACCGGATGTCGACTTATGTGTAAATGACCCCGGAATGGAGTTTTGATGATTCCAATAGCTCTGTATGGTGATCTTGGACTTAGGAGCGTGTACGGAAAATTAATTAGAAGTTCGTAGTGAAATTTGGCTTGAAATGCCGAAAGTTAAATTTTTGGGAAGTTTGACCGGAGGGTTGACTTTTTGATATCAGGGTCAGAATCCGATTTTGGAAATTTGAACAGGTCCGTAATATGAAATGTGACTTCTGTGCAAAATTTGAAGTAAATCGGACGTGATTTGATAGGTTTCGGCGTCGTTTGTAGAATTTGAAAATTTCAAAATTTATTAGGCTTTAATCCGTGTGTAGTTCGTATTTTTGAGGTTGTTTGATGTGATTTGATGCCTCGAGTAGGTCTGTGGTATGGTATAGGACTTGTTGGTGTATTTGGACGGGGTCCCGAGTGGCTCAGGTGAGTTTCGGTTGTTTGACGGATCAAATTTAACTTGAAACATTTCTGGAACTGCTACCTACTAATGTAATCGCACTTGCGAAGCTTTTGATCACAGGTGCAAAGCCGCATGTGCGCAAGATCAGTCGCAGAAGCGGCCAAGAGTGGGACTGGGCAGTGCTCGCAAGTGCGAGGAATTTGCCGCATCTGCGAGGCCGCAGGTGCGAAGGTGTTGGCGCAGATGCGGACTAGGGCTGGCCTGGGGCGAAAGTAGGTGCGAAGGGTTTGCGCATCTGCGAGCCTGCAGATGCGAGGTTTTGAGAGGTTGGCAATGTCCACAGGCGCGCAAATGCGGAAGTGCAGGTGCAAGCCCAGGCATCGCAGGTGCGAAAATGCCTGGGCAGTATTTAAAACGAGAGTTCCGAGGATTTTTCTCATTTTCGGATTTTGGAGCACGATTTGGGTGATTTTGGAGAGGAAATTTTCCACACAACTTGGGGTAAGTGTTCTTAACTCCCTTGTGATTATGTTCCATGAATTAATCTTCATTTTTGGTGTAAGATTATTGAATCTTCAAGAGAAATAGAAGAAAATTAGTATGGTTGAACTTGTAATTGGATGGGTTGTCGTATTTTATGAGTTTCATCGGATTTCGAGATGTGGGACCCACGGGTGATTTCGGATTTTGTGAAAAATATTAGCATTTTGATATGGAATTAATTTCAATAAATTGTGTGGACTGAATAAAATTAATTGTGGTAGATTCGAGCCATTCGGGAGTTGATACGCGCATAATGGGAGTTCTGGAGCGTTGTTTAGCTTGTTCGACATTGAATTCGGCTTGTTCGAGGTAAGTAACTCTTCTAATCTTGGAGTTGAGGGTATGAACCCAAAATATATGTATTTTTGTGAATTGTTGGGAGGTGACGCACATGCTAGGTGACGGGCGTGTGGGCGTGCACTATAGAAATTGTGACATAATTGTTTCTGTGGAATTTTGTAGTTAAGTAATCTTGGCATTTTCCATGCGGTTTTATATGTTAAAGAAATTGAGCTAAAAATCATGTTGAGGCTATGTGCCAGTATTATTGGAAGCCACATAGGTCATATTGCTGTGAATTATTTGTGTTAAATTGAAAATTATACTCAATCATATTTATGTCATTACATATCATATCTCAGTCTCTGTTATTATTTATTGATACATCATATCATCATTTTGGGATTATTTTCATGACATTGTGAGTGAATAAGGCCGAAAACCTGATTGTGAGGATTATTATGTGGATCGGGGCTGCCCGCCCGCAGCAGGCCATATTGGCTTTATATATATTATACTATTGCACGTGAGTTGGCCGTGCAGTAAGTGAGTTGGCCGTGCGGATACATATATTATACTATTGCACGTGAGTTGGTCGTGCAGCACGTGAGTTGGCCATGCGTATCCAGATATGATATTATAGCACGTGAGTTGTCCGTGCAACACGTGAGTTGGTCGTGCTTATAGATCTTGGGCTGTAGGATCCCCTTATGAGTCTGTACAGACCCCCAGTTAGCGCAGTCGACTATAAACAGGGATCGGGCTGCACGTCGTAGCAGGTATTGTATAGCGCTGAGTGATTGAGTGTGCTGAGCATAGTGAGAGAGAATGCGAGACAGTGAGATTGAGTATTCTGAGAGTGTGAGTACATGAGTACAATCTCTGAGATACATTGCATTGACATGCACACATGACATATATGCATAGAGATTTATTTTCCTCATGCTGACGGTATCACATTATTCATGATTTCTCTCACATGTTGACAGATGGGCATAGTGATGCATTTGTTTTATACGGGTTATCAAACATATCATTTATTATTGAAAGGATTTTGGGAAAATTATTGCTTTCAAACTTATTCATATTTTGGAAATTTCGGTAAACGATTTGGGTTTTTCACTGATGTACTTGAAAAGAAGAACTATTATATTTGAAATCATGATTTGGCTGAGCATTTTATCTCTGAGTTATTTCTGGTATTATTTGCTTTATGTTATTATGGACTGTTGTGGACTATTGGTTATCGACCCGACCTTGGTAAAAGCTTGTCACTACTTTCAACCTACGGCTAGGTTTATTACTTGCTCAGTACATGGGGTCGGTTATACTGATACTACACTTCTGTATATTGCGTGTAGATGTTGGTTGATCTTGTTGTTGTGCTCGATGGATGCGGGACTTGAAGATGTACTTGCATTCCTATTGTAGCTGCCTCTTGTTCAGGTTAGCCTTAGATTTATAAAAAGCTCTGCTTATGTATTATTCAAACAAACTATGTATTTATTTCATTTCCGCTTTGTATACTCTATTCTTAGAAACTCGTGATTTGTACTATCAGTTCTTGGGGGATGCATAAGATTAAGATGTTTATACACTTAAATTGCTTTAATAATTATTATTGAAATTGGATAATTGAAAGTTGGCTTACCTAGCGGGTTGGGTTAGGTGCCATCACAACTAGTTGGATATTGGGTCGTGACAAGGTGGTATCATAGCTCTAGGTTCATAGGTTCTAAAAGTCATGAGAAAGTATCTAGTAGAGTCTTGCGGATCGGTATGATAATGTCCCTACTTATCTTAGAGAGGCTACAGGGCATTTAGGATACATACTTCCCATATTTCTTTCCTTATCGTGCGGAATAGATTCAGCTTGAAATATAACTCTTTGAATTCCTTCCACGTATTCGTATGCGCACATGAGCGCTCGGTATCAGTTGTGCATCGCCGGCTTGTGATTTTGCAAATGAGGTTCAAGATGTGTATTCTGTGTTTTGGTGATGGGCCAGTCTGGAGGACTTGAGGCCAGGTTTAGATCGCAGCTTAGGCTCGGTAGCTTCAGTTGTAACCTGTACATTTGGATTCATATGTCTGATAATGTCCCTACAGGTGGAATTTGTGACTCGATGAGCGGTGGAATGGCTTTGTGATGAGTATGATGTAACTGCGGAACGTGTTAAGACGTTTTGAATATGACGAGAAGTGTTTCCTTGAAATGTAAAGGAAAGGTCATTGGGTGCTTGATTTTCTTTTCTATGTGACGTACAATCCCGAGTGTGAATGTTTTGAAGAATCTTTCACTATTGTTAAATTTTGGGACAAATTAAATTCTCATGTCTGGTTAGTGAGTTTGGACTCAGATAGACTAAGTGATGCATAGTAATTGTGAATGCGAAAGGGTATAACAAGATACCAAATTGAGGCTAAGCATGTGGATTATCCCCTGCGGAGTAATCTACGTAGGAGTATTCCTTATGATGTGAGTAGAGAGTTTCTTTTCTGCCGACGGGGTG